CGATGGAAAAGTACCGGGCAGGTGGTCGTGCGCTACCGCTCACTGCGGCCTAGGGAGCACCGCACCCCACGGCACCGCTCGGCCTGCTGCAGCCTTTGTGGAGCCCGCGAGTTGTCATTCTTTAATTACCTATGCTTGAAGGTGCCGGCTCACGGTTATTAGCGACATCAATCACATCCTGCCGAGGGCTGCATTGCTGCAGTGGAAACATGCAAAAGTGCTGCTCCAGTGAAGCACCACAGCTCCAGGGGACAAATGCAGCTAATACATATCTAATCAACACCTGCAATCAATGCCTTCCAGCTACAGTGCTGCAGCAGATTATTACTTGAAAAGACTTAGGGAAACAATATAGCCTGCTTAGCATCTTTGTATTCGAAGTACTGGACTGCTAGAGGAGCAGTTGTGGAAGGGAGAGCACTTGCTGCCCTCAAGCACAGAACTGTTCTCTACACCACCTCTTGCCCCACAGAAAGGATGAAGTTTTCCTCACTACTAGGAGGCAGGCCCTTGCTGCGAGAAGTGGATTTACAGAGAGCTGGAAAAACTAAAGGAGATGGGAACCCCCATTATTCAAATACTATGGTGGATGCTACCGTATAGCAGAAACAATAACTTCAACACACCATCCTTAAACTCTAGCCCTTTAGTTTGAACCCTCACCACTATAAACTGCTCCAAGCAGCTTTCTAGTTCAGGTCCCAGTAGAGGTAAAGCTCACCTGTGGAAAAAACGCACAAGGACACAGCTATTTGACTGCTACCTTGGATGCAGGTTTTGAACTCTTCCTCTAAGTTCACACATGATGAGCCAGGAAAGGCTGCTGCAGTACAGCCTCTGCTTTTATGTATGTCTCCCCATGGTCTTTCTACAAGAAATAGTGAGAGGTCCAGCTCTACCATAAGGAAAAAATCAGTTGAAGCTGGGGATTTCCACCATCCAGCCAGCTTACCTTCTTCCCCCTCTGTGACAAAACCTTTCACTCTACAAAGGCTGGCACCAAGTAAAACTGGCCTTAAACAGCACCAGCCTTACATCTGCCCTGCTAGAGGCACCTGTCACTCTGCATAGCAGACTCAGCTGGCAAGAGTGTAACTTGGCAGGATGAAACCTGTGTGCCATTCCACTGGATGGTATTTCCCAAGTGCAGCATTCCAGGCCTCTGTTTCCAGACACCCCAAGTACAGCTGGCAGGACCACTACAGTTCCACATTCTTCAAACAACTCCGAGAGCTGCATAGTCAAGACCAAGTATTTTTCAGTTAGTGGACAAGAGACAATCAGTCTTGACATAACATTTATTGAATATTTCCACTCTAGTGGATGAAAAGTCTGTACAAAACCAAACATTTCCTTTACTTAAACCAATCTATAACCAGTCAGCTCAATCAGAACTCACTACAAATACAATAGCTTCTTTGAAGCCATGGTAACACTTAAATACGGTTAAGACTTCAATGCAGAAATTTGGTTTGTTAGAGAGCTCAAGAGAGCTTCAGTTTTCAAAGTTACAAAAAGGCAAAATTGTGTTTCACAGATACAGTCCACTGGAATCACCAACACTGGACAATTAAGTACTTAAGAGTCCTGAGATAACAAGGAATCCTGGTATCCGTTAGACAGTTTTCTGTTGTCCTTTCTTTCCAATGAGAGACTTGTGGATATGCGGTATTACACCTAAGAAAGAGCAACAATTAAGACCATGTTATTTCTCAGTTTTCCTAAACTTAGCACTTCAAAGTAAGCAACATCATTAACCAACCTCTAGACTGTTAAGAAGTCTTGCCACCCAACCCATCACAAACAGCAAGGAATTTACATACCACCACCAGCAATTGTTGCCTTAATGAGAGAATCCAATTCCTCATCTCCTCTAATCGCAAGCTGCAAGTGGCGGGGAGTGATACGTTTCACCTTCAAGTCTTTGGATGCATTTCCTGCTAGCTCCAGAACCTAAGGACAAGAATTTTTAAATCAAGTTACACAAAACCAAGTAAGACCAGCTACACAGTCGTTGCTATTTTATTCTCTATGCCAAGTACACAAGCACCAACACCAATAAGGCAAACAATGCCTCTTTTGAATGGGTTCCTCCTTTGGAGCTCTGCATTTAGTTTTTCCCCAAAACAGAGAAGTTTTACAGCAAATACAATGTGCTGTACTGGCACAATTTATAAAATGCTTCACACTTCCATCCTTCCTGTAAGTCAGTGATTTAAGTTCAAAAAATGCAGCACAAGAGGTCTTACACCTATTTCATAGTCTCCTGATGATGCATACACTTAAAACTGCCTCAAAGCAAGGAGGTCACAGCCCAGTCCAAACTGGCAAAAAACATCAGGCTCTGGTCATTATGCCATTTTGGAGTTGACCAACTTGCTTGCACTCCTTGCAGGAGACTTACCTCAGCTGTCAAGTACTCCAGGATTGCAGCACTATACACAGCAGCTGTAGCTCCTACACGTCCATGGCTGGTAGTCCTAGACTTCAGATGCCTATGGATGCGGCCAACAGGGAACTGGAAAATAACAGAAGTATGAACAGGCTATGATGACAGAGACAGAAAAAGAAAGCCACTGCTCTAAACCACATGCTGGGCAACAGAACCCTAATGGCAGAAATACAGGATACATTTCAACACTTGTGAATCCAACTTAGGACACTATATGCCAAGTTTACATCACAATTTTAACCACTAACAGTAACAGCCACAAAATACTTTTTTCCCCTCCTGCACAGATCTATAAGAGGTCTAAAAACAGTCAAGCCAGACATCAGACTCAAGGATTAAACAGATCCTCACCCCATTCTGGATAACCAAGAGATGGCATACTGTACAGGTTTCACAATGTACAACCAACCAAGAGATAGAAGGCCGACCTTACTTTCCCTCACCCATGCCCCAATCCCTGCTCACCTGCAATCCAGCCCGCTGAGAACGGGACACCGCTTTGGTCTTGGTCTTTCCAGAGTCCTTTCCAGCTTTACCACCAGCCTGGCAACGAGAAGTGACGCGTAAGAGCGGCTGCGCCAACCGCCCCCCCTGCTCAAGC